ACAAACACAAGCGGACTCGTGAATAGCTGCATACACATATATACCCCAGGTATCCCTCACTTGGCGGATTAGGTTGAGGTCGACCTCCGTAACAAGCAAGCCATCGTGCACTCGCGAGAGACTGGGTGTGCGGCTACCGTCTGGGCAGGCCACGTAGGACGAGCCATAGAAATGCCCGAAGTCCTTGTGCGCGGGCTTGCCGTCGCCTGATGTAAACGAGTTGGGGAAGTGCTCCGAACCAACTCTGACGGGAAAAGGCGAAGGTCAGTGCGACGGTCAGTGTTGCAGATACAGGGCATGCGTATATGCACCCTGAGGACAAGTGTGATTTTAATTGGGGGTTGTCGGAAAGAGACGTGCGAGTACTTGCAGAACTGACCAACGCATACTTGGACGTGTCATATGATGTGATGGATGATGCATACAGCGCCGAGCCTTGTAGGTAACCTAGACGCCGATCCCATATTTGTGCCACACGCACAGGCTCTATCACATATGCACTTTCTCAGCACTCAAGTGGATATATGCATCGACCATACCAGGCGACTGCAGCCGACAACGCACAAAACAGGACACTTCGACCTCCCCTGCTTACTGGCCAGTGATACCACACAAAACAGGACCACACACACCTGTTGATTGCTACGCTGAAGTATCCGTTGGCTATGGCTGCGTTCCGGGCCTCCACACTCCACAAGGGCTCGCTCAGAGCACCTACAGTGGCCGACGGGTTGAAGACTATCTCTGCACCGTTCATACCGAAGGCGTGCCAGTTGAGGGGATGGTGACGCCCATAGCAGATGTTCACTCCGATCTTACCTGTGAGGTGTGTAGGAGACATGGACGGAGGTGCCGCGTTCGGATGATGTGGATGTGTGAGAGAGTGTGCAGACCAACTGTGGGCAGTAGCGCATCCGAATGGGAGAAGGGAGATATGTATATCCTGTGGGTTAGTGCTCTTGTGATGTGTATGCGAGAAGTCGATGGAGGCAACAGATTCGAATAATGTGAGAGAGAGTGCAGACTGGTTGTGAATAGTAGCACATTAGAATGGAGGGAAAAGGGGAAAGATGGGCTGTGGTACATGAAGGCACCGTATCCCTAGCAACCATGCCCTCCAATGCATATCAACTCAATTTCCATGCTCTCGCAGTACATAGGCGGACGTACCGAACTGTGTATCAAATACAGGGTGGCCTGTGTTGCCCTCCATGTAGTAGGTGCTCTCGTTGAAGTCGCCCACCCGCGGGATGTGGTTCTTGCGATGCTTGCCCAGTACACGTCCGAAGTTGTCAATCACCACGGCGGTGTTCCACAGCACATCGCCGTTAGTCAGGTCACGCTCAAGGATGGGTGATATGATAACCTGGTATGACATGGGTGTGGGGGGTGTACGTTTGTAAAGACGTTTAGTACGTTGTATTGTTATGTGAAGACGGGTATAATATGATAATCTCTGGTATACTATGAACGTGGGAGATACGTTTTCGACGACGTTTAGTACGCTATACTGTATACGTCGACGGGTGCAATACTTGACTGAACCACATATGGGCAAAAGACACTACCAGTGTGGAACCGCATGGATTGAATTGATTCAACGGAATACGGGTGAAATGAACAGGCGATCTCGTGATTACCATCATAAACGTAGCTAAACGGAGTCGCGCTCGTAGTACCCTTCCAAGCAAATATGCAAACGCATGCACACGAAAGTCTAAACCCTTAACTGAATATGCACTCGCCTCGATCCTGTGCGAGATGTATCACTGATCGGGGTGATCGACATTGCAATACTGGTTATTGTCACGCCAGTTGTGACATGCTGCGCCTCAGGTACTACCCAAACCCTAAGTATTAATATCGTACTATTGCGAATGCAGGGTAGGCAATGGACACATACCTATACATAGCATAGTTGACCACCCCCCTTACCATATTGTATCGCTTGGCCCAGGTTTGGCATAGCTTGGTCGTCTGCCCCTCCTCCGCTGACTCGGCGAACTCGCACCAGGGCTGTCGCTCACGGGTGCAGAAGGCAAACGGCATGGTCCACGCTTCCTAAAGACATACAGTGTACAGTGGGAAACACACAAACAGGTTATCAATCAGAGAGCGGCAATCGTTAGCCTGCATTCACAGATAGCCACTTGCAGGGTTTAAGGTTTAGCATAGTTCCGCTATAGGTTGGCTGGAGATACGTCGTACGAGGGGGCCTGACAAATCGCAACGCCTCAGCGAACTAAGAAAGACACCGGTGAGGATTTATCTAGTTTTCTTATCGTAAATAGTAGGTAGCTTAGCTGTACATGTCTACTCGGTATACAATACCTAGGCATGTATCTATTTATACCTACACAATGCCATCGCATACACCTCAATACAACGCCTACGATAGACTTCTCTCCTGTACCTGGAAACAAAGCACATTCACTCCCATCCGGGCGGCCGATACAACCATAGTCTCCACCCGCTTATGTAACGCAGTGATCTGTGCCTGTACAGGTGCATCTGTGGGCTCTACTATGGCGTTCTGGATTGCACCTATACGCACCAGTCTGGGTGCACGCAGCTGTTCGGCAGGGCAATTGACCTTATAGGCCTGTATCTCGTGGCCGTTGTCTTGGGCGTCCTGTGCCACCGCCTGGAAGTTGTGTATAGTATGGATGAGAAGAGGCCCAAGTATAACATAGTCATATATTCTGGAGTAGAGGACAGTCCATTCGGTTATGGTTAAGGGTACAATATAATATACTTCGTAGGCATGCACTAGTCTCGGTGAACGCATCTGCTCTGCATTACATTTCATACGTAGGCGTGTATGTCGTGGTTGTTGTCATTTGCGTCGTGTTTTGTGTTTTTTATTAATGCACGATAAATGTGATAAAGAGATTTAATATATTCAACTACGGATTAGGCACCAGATAAATCAGATAAAGGGCAAATGGTATGTATCGTACGCCTCAATCTAGTGGACGTTGCACTAACAGTACCGCGTGGATGGTGTTTAACCATATTGGTTTACGAGAGCGATCACCTAGAGTGTACACATTTGTGGCGACAACCAACCTCGGATGGGAAGTTGAAAATAGTGCGAGAGTAGATGCATCTATACAAAGAGGGTTTATCTCAGAAAGCAATATTCAAATTTGTCGAAGAAAGTGCTCTTGATTCAAATCTCGTGTAAAATACAAATGTACATGACAATTATATATATATATATTTATGTGTGTGTGTGTATATGTATATGTATATATATACAT